CCCTCAGAGCAGAGGCTTGGAAGCTCAGACTGAGGCATGGGACTGACTCTGTGAATCCTGGGTCCACCTGCCCCTCGCTCTGACTTTGGGCAAGATACCTCTCTGAGCCTCAGTTTCCTCATCCAGAAATGGCAACGTTAGCTACCCCAAAGGACTACTGTAAAGACTCACTGAGACAACCTGCAAGGTGCTAAGGCAGCGCTTAGAACCCATCAAGTGCTTGAAAGCTGGCAGAGGCTGTTCATTCCAGGCAGCGCTAGTTTGGTATGAGTCATATGCCTATCTGCTGCCCCCAGCTGTGGGCTCCTGGAGGCAAGAGCGTGCATCCAATCTCAGTTCCTCATTCATAAGCTCAGTGACTATGGCAAATTGCTTAAACTTTCTGAGCCTGTGTTCTTAGAATATAGTGGGACAAATGAAATATACCTCAAATTTGTGGTGTGAGTAAAATTAACAGTGGTTATTTGGAGGTAAGGGCATTATGAAAATATATTTTATTTTATGTTCTTTTTATTCTTATGAGCATTTTCTCTTTTTCCTATAACACATATGAATTATTCATGTATTTTAAGTCACTTCTCAAAAACATGTTTTTCCTAAAAAGAAATACTTAAATTTATTGAGTGCTCACTATATTTTAGGTGTTGTTCTAAGCACTTCACATATATTATTTCATTTAATTCTCACATCTCTGAGGAAGATAGTATTTTCACCCCCATTTTATAGGTGAGAAAATTAAGGCTTAAGCAGACTGAGCAAATCACCCAGTCGGTTTTAAGTCAATCTAGATATGAGATAAAATTACATGAAACTATACACATATACACACACACAGATAAATGAGTACATGCAGAAACAAGTGAAATCTGAATAAGGCCTGCAGTCTACTTAAGAGTGTTGTACTTATGTCATCGCCCTGGTTTTGATATCATACTATTGTTATAAGTTACCATTGGGGGAAGCTGGATGAAAGGTACCAGCCAGACACCTCTCTACCTTGTTTTGCAACTTCTTCTATAATTAGACTCACATAAATAGTTTTTTAAAACAAGTTAAATTAAAAGTTTTTTAAAATGAGAAGTTTTTTAAAGGCCTGCCATAAGGATTACATGAGATAATGCGCCTAGCACAGTGGTTGGACACAACTGACATTTCAGTATTTGATCATTTCCTTCTTCCCCACTCTGGGAGTGAGTATTTTCATAATTCTATAATAATAACAGGCTTCCTTTATGGTGTTATTGTGTACCAGACCTATGCAGTAGGCACTTGTATTATTTCCCTTTTACTGATAGGAAGACTCAGGCTCTGCAAAGATAAAACCTCTTCTCCACTTGCTAGGAAGTGACCAGGCCTGGATTTACACCCAGGAGGCCTCTCAGTGACCCTGCTCCCTCCCACTCAGGGCCAGCTCAGACTACTGCTAAAGGTTTGCTTTGAACCTTGGGAATCATCTACTCCAACTGTCTCAGTTTACTTGGAAGAAAGCAGGCTCAGAAGGGGCCAGGGCTTTGTTCAAGAACACCCAACAAGTCTGTGACTGAGCCAGGATGAGAACTAGGTCTTTGAACTCCTGGGCAAGGGCATTTTCCAGTGCTCTCACCCAGGGCTGTTCGCCCAGACAGCACACCTTCACCGGCCCTGTCTGGGAGACCACTGATGCCCACAGGTAGACCTGTGGTTTCCCACTCACGTCCCCCACCAACGTGTGCAGCTCAGGGCACTTGAGGCCCTAGAGGTGGAAGCAGGGATGGGGAGGGTGGAGGCATGGTGGCCCTCTACTGCAGGCAGCCTTGGGAACCAGGGAAGTTGGGGCCACAGAGAGGACAAGGGCAGACCCTTTGAACTTTGGCTGGAGCCTGGGTGGAAAGGGAGAGTGTGTTTGTGAGGGGGTATTCATGCCAAATCCATGCTCCTGTCCCCCTCAGGCACTCTTGAGTCACTTGCCCCTGAGGTTGGGACACATTCTTGAAGGGGGTGGTCACAGGGATTCCCCGCCCTGAGGCCCTAGGCCAGTTTCCATTCATCCTGGGACTGAAACCAACTCCCCCCTCAGACTCAGCACCCAGTCCCCAACTGGTAATACAGTGACTCTCTTCTCTAATTCCTGCCCTGGGTGGGACCTCCTTGGACTTGGAGCGATTCACCCCAAGTCCAGACTTGGGGTTGGGGGGGAGGGCCGGTCTGAGTCCCATTTTTCAGGGAGCAAATGGGTCCCAGGTATCTAGAGGGGGGTTGACCTATATTTAGATTAGTGATTGGTCTCTCTCCCCATCCCTGTCGGGCTCTTCCTACTCCATCCCACCAGGCCAGTCTGCATTGAGGTAGAGCAAAGCTGAGGATCAAGGATCCCGCCCTGCCATCTCTCCACTTCTGTGCCCTCGTGAATCTGTTGGGAAGCAAACCCGCGCTGCTCGGCCCAAGGGAGCGGCCCTAGCGATCCGGCCTGAGGGGAGCAGCGCCCTCGTGTGGCCTCTAGGAGAAGCGCAGCTCATTTCCCAGCCCTACCCCTTTCCATGAGCTCACTGAACAAGTATTTATTGAATGCCAATAGGTGCTCTAGGAGCTCTAGATAGCTAAAATACCTGCTCCGTGGTCGGTACATTCCACTGTGTGTGTGTGTGTGTAGGGCCAGGCAATAAACGAATAAAAAGTAAATAAGTAAAAGAGGCAGTTACAAGTACTGATAATTGCTAGGAAGAAAATAAAACAGAAACCATAAGCAAAATAAAACAGAAACCATAAGCAAAACAAAAAGACTACCTATGGAATGAGAGAAAATA